TGGGGCCGCGCGCGTGTACCGGCGGAGGTCCCCGGGCCGCTGGCCGGGGCTGTCCCCGGGCCGCTGGCGGCTCGCCCGCCCGGTTTGCGCCGGCTCGCTCGCTCCCCGGCCTTCCTTTTCCTCCTTCCTGAAGATCTTTACGCCCAACACGCGCAAAGCCCTTCCGAGGGCTGCTCGCCGGGCCGTTTCGGCGTTGTTTTTAACTTTGCAAGTTTTGCTCGGCATCTAGCCCGCCCTCCCTCTTCACTCCCATTTCTGTCTCTCGCCGGTGCTAGGAGCCCGTCGTAATCTCAGGTTCCTTCTCGTCAAATCTCTGTCAGAGCTCCAGGTTTGCGAAGGCTTGCTCGGTCACTGAGGTGGTGCCAAGCTTTGCAGAGTTAGGGTTTCCCAAATAAGGCAGGCAAGCGGCGCGATGTTCCCTTTGAAATCCATCTAGGTAGCCCTGGCGCAGGCTCTTGGGGAGCCTGGCTGCGGTGGGATACACTGGAGTTAAAGCTGAGTAGGCCTTTTAAGGAGTCGGTAGCACAAAAGAGGATGATGAATGATTCTCCTTTTAGGAAGGAGCCTGAGTGGGTAAGCTGGTAATTACAGTTCATAAACTCTTCCCGGCTGCCTTCCCTGCGATGCGTGGAGCGGAGCAGGGCAGCTATCTCTTGCCTTGGTACAAACACCGTAGCAATCAAACTAGGAGTTTTCTTTTTAAAACCAAAGGAACTCCCAGGACGTAACTTAAAAACTCAAGCAAAGCTCCTTGTGCTCTTTCCTGAGTGACAGGAGGCTAAAAATTAATGTGTCTTCCTAGTATGGTCTTGGGAAAAAATGCCTTCCCTACTTAGATAACAGAAAAAATGTGACCTTTGAAGCATCAAAGTTGGCATCTAGGTTTGCCGTAATGAGCCATACGTCTCTGCTAAGATTGAAGAAAAATCGCTGTTCTGTAGAGGCACGGTTACAAGCAATAGAAAATGCAGGTCAGCGTACGCACTGTAGAAAAGGCTATTAAATTGTCAGCTGCACACACCGAAGATGGATGCATTTTACTTTTGAGAGCAGGTAGTTAAGGCAGCACAGCTATCTGCTTGCAGGAATTTAAGTGAAGGTGAAGATTGTAACTTTCCAGAACTGCAAGGCGAGGTAAAGTTTGGAATGGCTGAATCAAACTGAACTCCTTTAGTGGTGCTAATTGTTTTTGTTTTTTTTTTTAAATGACCAAGTCCTTGCAGCATGAATGCAGTTTACTCATTTGTAAGCTGTCTTGGTTTACAAGCCCTTTGGAGCACATCTAAAAAAGCGCCTATCAGCGTGAGAAGGAACAAACTACGCCAGTGTAAAGGGTCTCTGTAACTCTGTAACTGTCCACAGGACAGATCATAACAACAGAAGAATTAAATCAAATTGCATCCCAAACTCAAACAGTTGCATAGCGTTTTAAAGAAGCAAAAAGGTGAAGGAGGCTTAATGACTTTAATAAACTGTGGAGGGGGATTTTTCCAGGATTTGCTGGTAAATGGAAAAAGAACAAGAAATACAGATCACGCCTGAGGAACTGGCCTTTCTGGCAGATGGTGACAGTAAAGTCAGGATATGGTAGAAAGTCTAGGAGGGGGAAAACAAGCTGCTTGTTTTGTTGTTGTGGAATTTTTTGTAGGCATGCTAATTCCCTCCTTAAAGACAATTTCTATTCTTATCACTTCCCTCTTTTACTTGATAAATTAAAAAAAAAAAACATATATTTTTATCTGACGGCTCCACTGTTCGCTCTGTTTAGTAAGATGCTGTGAAGCAAACGGGAGTTGTGAACAAGCAGAAAAGATAGCGTGAACAGGGTTCTTGTAGTAATAGAGGTCAAAATATAGAGTGGCCGAGGTGATACAATGTTTTGGATGAAGAGTTTTTGGTATCTTTCGATACTTTTTTTCCAAACGTGAATATAGCCCTCGTTGGGCTATATTCAGCCCAATGTCAACCAAGACAGCTTACAAATGAGTAAACTGGAAAGTTGGTTGGTTGGTTGGTTTGATCGCTCTAGTTAGACGACACAGTACAGATTGCAACGGGGCAAGGGAAGGCAGAGTTAAGTGCATGTATTACAGCAGCTGCATTCAGAGGTGCCGCAACCCCCTGCGATGTTAGGGACACCATGTGTTCCACCAGGTGCATTTGAACGCTGAAGGGTTTTGGCTGTAATTTTCCCTGATAGTAGCCCTGGTGGCTTCTTGTAACCATGCAGAGGAATGAGTGAATTGAATACGTGCTTTAGCTGGCGTATCAAGAAAGGGAAAGGTTGTAAATGCCTCTGCTATGAATAGCTGAACTAAAGACCACCCACACTTTGAGATTCAGTTGTCATCCTGGTCTTCTGCTGCAGTTTCTTCTGGAAGACAGTTTCTAGGCAGTTCCCTTCCCTTTCTGGACTTAATACTTAGCAAAGTAATACTTAGCTAAGCAATAGCTAAGCAATACTTAGCTTAGCAAAATGCTGCTACTGCATTGCTCTTAGCTTAGCAAAATGCTGCTACTGCATTTGCTACAGTCCAGTTATGTTCAAGATAGTGATTTTTTTCATTGTAAGTCGCCTCCTCCTTCACCTCTAGAAGGCATAGGTTAGTGAGGAGAAGACTGGTACAAACGGTCTGTTTAGCAGATACGTCGCAGTAGAGAAAAAAAAGTTGTCAAGGTCAGTTGCATCTGTTGTCCTCCGAAATATTCGAGACAAAACTGTCCAATGAGATGGTCCAATGGCTGCAAGATGTCTTCAGGACATGTGCACAGTTCCTATTGATTACGTTGGGGTGGAGTGTTAAGTGACATCAACTATATGGCTTATGCATCAGCCTCACGGTGCTGGAACAGTTATTTATTTATCCTCCTGGTTTTTCTCATGAGTAGTGCTAATGAAGTAAAAAAACCAACTGGAACTGTAACATGAAACTTTAAATAATCTGAATGGCTTAAGTGGCTTGGAAAATAGAAGCCTTGAAACAGGTCAAAGGCAAACCCAGAGATAGGATCCAGCATCTTCAGTCCTATTCCCTAAGTAGTGGGTGACCACGTAATTTCTTCAAAATGACCTTATAACTGCTCACTCAGCCTGTCCCCTTAGTGCGCTGGACCTCTTGCGGCTGCTCTCTTCCCAAGCCATCTTTGCAAGAGCGAGGAACATAATTTTCCACTTCTGGCCAGGACTTGTTGTTTCATAATCTAATGCAGTTACAGTCCTGCTTTCAGTGTTCATACCTTTAGATGATGTCAGCCTTTAAACTACATATGTGATTTTTAAAATTTTTTCTGTATTTTATTTTATCTTTATTTCCGTATTTTAAAAATGAATGTGCCCTAATAGCAAATATCCTGGATTCGCATGCTTTTAAAGGTGTCTTGGTCTGAATTGCTGTTGTCTTAGTCTACTTCTAGATTAGATGGGGCTCCGAAAGGAAAATAGAATGAATACCCGAAACTGCCAATAAGACTAGAGAAAACAGGTAACTTGAACCCACCACTGTATTCTCCGGTGTCTGTAATCAGGATATACGTAATGCAACGGGCCATTCAGCTGCAGCGTAGCTGGAATATTCCAAGTGAATGTTTTTCACGTGCTGCAACAGAGATTCTTATCTTATTATGAAATAATTTAGCTATGCAGTGGAAACAGTGTGTAAGCGCTCTTCAGATTATGAGAAGGCATTTCAGCAGAGTTGTAAACTCTGTAAAAGTACATCTGCATGTCGCATTTCTGAGTTACGGACATTGCAGCCACTTGTGCTTGCTATGTAGGTACAACAGTTCTGCTGCCAGCAGTGAAACATAGCATAAAGCACAGTTTGTGAAAGCGATTCTAGGAAATGCATGTGCTTGTGTATGTTACACCACGTGTTTTTGCACCTATTTAAAGGCTCAGGTGCAACCTAGCGCTCAGGTGCAACAGTCAAAATTCCTGTTTTCTTCCTCTAAGCTACTCTTCCTCCTATAGCTTTGCCATAGGAAGTTCTGGAAATGGATGAATATGAATTTATAGCTCATTCATATGTAGAATTTTGGTAAATATATACCATATGCAGTAATAATTTGCAGTGCGTAGTGTGTGAAGCACAATTCCTGCAAGACTGAAACCACCAAGTGGGTAATTGGTGTAATAGATCTTCTTGGAGCACACAGCTTTTGCACCTGGCCAGTTTATGGTTTCAGGTCTTGGGGCCTCCTCGCTTGCTCTATGTTAAGATGTCAGTGCATTGCTGAGTAATTGCATGAAAGATGCCCTGGCTATGAGTAGCTGTGTGAGAAATACTGGTTTGATTTTTGCATTGTTTTGTAAAGCTTCCTGCTGACTCTTCAGCTGCAGCACAGGCTTCTGAAGTGTTATTTCAGTTTTAAAAGGCAGTAGCTCCTTGTCTCTAGTACTGATCTAAAAGTTCAGCATCCCTGTCCAAAACAGTAGCTGAGGCATCTTATCCCTCTTACTTAGCCCATCCCAGCCCCTTTCTCTTGCTTGGCCCAGGAATCCAAGAGAGGGAGGCCAAGGAAGAGGGCAGAGCAGGGAAGAGGAGCAGGGCGGCAGCGGTTAGGGAGAGAAGCGGGTGCAGGGGCAGCCCGTCTGCCTTTCCTGGCAGCGTCTGCCTTGGAACCGCTGCTGATGCTGGCTTCACCAGCCAGAGAAACAGCAGGCGAGTGAGGAGGCCCGGGGAGTTACTGTCACCTGGGAATCCCTCTAACCTGCCTTATGCTGTAGGAGACACTTTACTGAGGGCGTTTCTTGAATGTCCTCAGCGCTTTGTAACTGGCTACCAAATGAAGAAGATAAGTGCTGCCTATGGAGAGCCTTAAAGACATCGGTGTTAAAGCGTGCAATAAAAATACTCAAACAACTGCTCGAGGAGGGAAAGGATGACTCTTTATTTGATTTTTTTTTTTTTTTTTTAAATGCATGGAGGGTTTAATTTGTACCTTTTTGTGCGTGACTTTACTGCGTATGGTATCTCTGCCCATCTGCTTCTCTCATTAAATCCATGGTACAGCAAGCTCCAGGAGCCAGGTACAGTGCCTAATTGTTTGCCGCTTCTTCTCTGTGCTTCCCTGGGAGTGCTACCAGATTCTCTCCTCCAATAACTATAAACCCTCTGAGTCTGCTTGCTGAGGTAGAACAAGGCTTCAAGAAAATAAGAGTTAGAGCAATCGCAGGAGAGAAGAGAGAGTGACAGAGAGAAAGATAAATGAACCGATGATTAGTG